TTTAATTCATAGAAGTTTTAATACATGACGTCATAGATTTTTTTGTTTGTTTGCTTAAAATACCAATTATTATTTTTTACATTCAATTTCCAAATCATATTCATTTTTATTATATTTTAAAGTTCTAAAATATGATTGTAAAAAACTTAAAAACAAAATAGTATTTTATTTGAGCAACTTTTTTTAAATAATCGACTAGACCACATTTATTTTGATTTCTTTTGTTATAAGTTTTTCTTTCAAAATATTAGATAAAATAATTTTCAACCTAAATAATAATGTACTTTTAATAATGTACTTATATACTTATTTTTTATATCTCTTCCTAGTGCTTGGTTTAATTAATTGTTCGCTAGATTTGTCAAAACAACTTGCATTAAAATGTAAAGAACTCACTCGTGAATCATCGGAGATATTATATAACCCGATTTGACGCCACAGGGGTCCCTAGGTCCACCATCACCATGGCCCATGTAGCCACAGCTCTGATAGCTATAAAAAAACATAAAATGTGAAGATTTTAGAAAATAAAATAAATAACTATGGTTAGCTATTTTAGTAAATTTAATAGTAAAATTTTTAAAGAATTTCTAGAATGTTTCCAATGACGTCATGTACTAAAACTTCTATGAATTAAACGCACTTGAATAAATTTTCAAGTCTGTATAATGCGCCTGGAAAATCATCTTTATTTTACAGAACCCAAATACCGCAGAAAATGGAGAAGACAACCTTTGACTAAAACAACAAGATTTGTTTTTCTTGGTATACATTTATTAATTAGTTTTAATCAAATAAAATTTGCTCAGACGTTGTTTTTTTTTTTTAACATTCTCTTTAATATGAACACAACATGTTTCGGGACTTGGTAGTCCCTTTAAGGTTGGCAGTTTCTGAGGGTTGTAATTATTAATGAATTCAATATTAAAATTATTATAATCATCATAAATAATAATGAATAATAATAACTTTGGTAAAAATAATAATTAAATAAGTAAAATATTATAATTATAAAATGATTAATACATTTAAATCCTAATAACTTGAACCTGCATGGAAAAAAATTTAACTAATTAAATGTTTAACTTTGGTGAAATAAACTTCTAAGGTTCCTGATTTTATGTAACCTTAGAAGACAGTTAAACAGTTAGAACCTTAGTTAAACAGAGATAACAAAATTTGAGTGATATTCGAGTTACCAGTAGTTACCAGGATTTAATGGTATAAACTAATAAAAACATTTAATGGTATAACTAATTAAAACAATTAATACCAATTTATCATGTGTTGAAAAAGGTAAAGTAAATTGTCCATGCTGCAAACCATTTTTTTCTAAAAAAATTACATCATGTTTGTTGGGTTTTCTTTGAGAACATGCTATTAAATTTCCAGATGGTCTAAAAAGTAAAATTAAATAATAAAAAAATATTAAATTTTAAAAAATAAACAAAATTTTATATTGTTTTTAAAAACAATATTTAATTTTCAGATGCAGAAATAAGCTAAGATTAAAAGAGAAAAAAACTTTTTTTTGATAAAATATAATCATACAATAACAAATTGTAAAACTCATATACAATAATAAAAAACTAATAGACAATAACAAATTGTAAAAAATATAACACAATTACAAATTAAAGACAAACTTTCTATCCCAACAACAAGTTTAAAAAATCTGTTAACTTTTAATTTACAGAATATTGATAAGATTATCTATCTTCCAAGTTTTTCTGTTCATTTAAATTTTAATAACAATTTTAATATTAATGAACATAATGAAATTGAATTTAATACTTAAGTAATATTACATTTGAGACGTCTTAAAGCTACATGCAGTTGCCAATGAGTAAATGACAGGGGCCCCAGCTAAACACCCAACTTTTTACAAATCTGGGCCTTCCAAAATTATAGGACTTAGCAGGGGTTGATAGCCAGGGCTAGGATAAAAATTTATAATACATTATAATTATATTTGCTATTTACTAAACTATCATAGATCATTCTAGCCATATTTTAAAAATTCGGAAAATAAAATAAATAAAATTTTAAATAAAATATCCAAAAAAAATCCGGAATTTGTTTTCCCTTATTTTCTTTTTAATTCGCTTTTAGCAAAGCTGTTTTCAACTTTTTTTGACACTTTTCACATTTTTTCTATGAGTAATGAGTAAAAAGCTTAAAAAACAAATATATTACAAAAATATATTTGTTCTAAAATATATATACCTCAACTTGCATGTATTGAATATGTTTTAGATATCTGGAAAAAGTAAAAGTTAAAAAAATATCCGGAATTGTGGAAATATCCGAAAAAAGATAATCCCTGAATATAGATTTACATGGATATAAACACATATGTTTGGTATTAATTTTTATCCTGGATCCTTACATGTCAATACAAATTTTAGTACGAGAGAGTTGCCAAAAAAAAAACTATAAAACATTTCTAAAGATGGTTTAACTATGAAACATTTTTGACTAGATTAATACAAACAGACACAATACTAAACTTTTGACTAAATGTTTTGATTTCATTGAATTATTATTGAAAATAAAATTGAATACGAAATTAAAAATAAAATTGAATACGAAATTAAAAATAAAATTGAATATGAAATTGAAAATAAAAGCTTTAGAGTGATGGTGCACATAGTAAGTGACTGGGGTTGGTAATTGACCGGGCTTGGGCCTAATCTGATAAAAAAATAACCAAGGCCAGTTTTGTGACCGGAGCTTGTTTATACCATATATAACACACTCTCTCCAAAATTTCTACCTCTACCATCTCTCTACATTATGATGCCCAAACCACTTCAATCTTCTCTGACAAATGTTGTTTGATACATTCCCAAGAAAATAAGTTTTAAGTTTATTAAAATCACCAAAACAATATATTTATTGATATACTAACAAAAAGTATTTGTTGTTTTGCCATTATACTTCCGGTTGAGATGATAATATTAACTTTATGAATCTGCATAGTTTTTTTCCATAGTAAAAATATCTGGTTTGAATAATAAATGTATTTACTGCAGAGTTTTTTAAACAATTTACATAATTATACATTAGATTGGGTTTTCTCTTTTTATAATAAAAAAGGTTAGCGCCACATTAACCATTCTTATTCAACTGGAAACTTTTGACAAAATAAAATTATAAACGAAGATTGCAGCTATTTTACTTTGTTTTATTTTTGTTACCATTAAATCTTTGGTTTTTCATTTACCAAAATCAAATGTATTTTCACTTTTTTTTAGTAAACCAAAAAAATTAAATTAGGAAGCAATACTTTAAAATATGCTAATGACGCAACTTAACTTTTAATGAAGTAAATATCAAAATTACTTTGTTACACAATGAAATCTCATAACGATGCCTGTAAAGATTGATACATCCTTAAGTAAATTTTTTTATTCAATATATATATATATATTTATATATATATATATATATATATATATATATATATATATATATATATATATATATATATATATATATATATATATATATATATATATATATATATACATATATATATGTATATATATATATAGTAAAAAATAAAACTACGTGATTTTCACAACTTTAAGTTTCATGCTGTTGCAATCATCAGGTGAAATACAAATATATTTTGTTCGTTTAAAAAATTATATACAATTGAAACTATACAGAAAAAACCTATACGGAAAAAACTTTTTTTTATTGTTACGATCGCGTGTATTTAATCTTCAGGTTTGTGGTTGCTCAATAGAAATTTATTTTCGTGACGACACTTGGAGATTAACTCTGTTTTTTTATTGAGTAGCTCTTCAGCATTTTTATAAAGCAAAATAATCAGTTTTTCATATAAACATAGTAAACATTTTTTTGTTTCATTGTTGTAGGCGGGGGCTTTTTTCAGGATAGACCAAGTTAATTCTGGTGTTTCTTTCAGTTTTTCTTTAGTTTCCCATATATGTTTTGAGAGAGTGGTTGCATTTGAAAGTTTCTTATTTGAAAATGATTGCTTGTGGTTTGCATACCTCTTTTTCCACAATCCTTCTGATAAACCAATGTATGCTTTGCTGGGAGTGTTTGGCGAAGATGTTATACATTTGTAAATGATGTTTGTCGCTCTACAATTTTTATTCAGCGGGCAGATTTCTTTTTGCTTGCAATTGCAAGGGAGATTTTCAGTGGTGTTAATTAAATTTATTTTTTTGTTGTGGTTTTTTATAATTTTTGAAATGTTGTTTGAGCAGCTGTAGCTAACTTTTGTAGTGTTTCGATTGAATAGTTCATGTAATGAATTTGAAGGTGGGAAATGTTCATCTATTAATTGTAAAAAGATTTGGTCAACATTGGTGGAGACGCTTTTATTGTAGGGTGGGTTAAAATATATATATATATATATATATATATATATATATATATATATATATATATATATATATATATATATATATATTAAATATATTATATATATATATATATATATATATATATATATATATATATATATATATTATATATATATATATATATATATATGCATGTATATATAAACATATTCATGTATATACCGTCCATAATTATTAGAATGGTGTACTTTTAAATTTAAGATATTTTTACTTATTATTGGGAGAGAAGCTGAAAACAAAGTCTACCTGAATCATATGATATATTCCTATTTATTAGGTTAACAAAAAAAAAAAAATTAATTTGAGTCCAATTAAATTAGTTTAACTGCTGAAGATATTCTTGGCATTCTACTTAACGGCTTATTCAATTTGCCGAAGTCAATTTTATGCCACTAACTAATAAGTTTTTTCCACATCTTATGCATCATTAGGTATTAGTTTTTGACATTACTTTTAATTCTAAATAAAAAAATAATTGAACAATTGAAAAAAAATCATAATTTTAAATATTGCATCAAAAGAATGAGTTTTTCGTTTAAATTTTTTTGTTATCAAGTATTTTTTTAGATTTAGTAAACTTTTTTTTAGATATGTTATTAAGTATTGTTTTGAGAATTTTTTTGTGTATTGGTTAAATAGTTGCTTTTTAAACCTTGTTCTAATGATGCATGAAATTGACTGCAAAAAAAAATAATTGTGCAGTTCAAAAAAATGTCAAATTGATCAAATTCCATAGAAATTAGGATCAAGTGGGGGCTCCTTTGGACTTAATAGCCTCAGCTAGACAATTTGGCAGTGAGTTAATCAAATTTTGGTCTCTTTTGTTGTTATATTATCCCATGCGCTCATTATAGCTTCTTTGAAGTGGTCTTTGCATCTGAATGCTTAGTCACCAATTTTTCTGCCCAAAATATACCAGAAATTTTCTATTGGATTCAAGTCTGGACTTTGAGATCACCATTTAAAAAGATAGATGTTATTTTCGTCAAAGTCACGGGCCTTTCGTCACCTTTCGTCACCTTTGTTATTTTCGTCATTTTCTCAATTGTTAAGAAGCATAATCTGATTAGAACGTTTGCTAGTGTGGCTGGTAGATTAGAACGCTTGCTAGTGTGGCTGGTAGATTAGAACGTTTGCTAGTGTGGCTGGTAGATTAGAACGTTTGCTAGTGTGGCTGGTAGATTAGAACATTTGCTAGTGTGGCTGGTAGATTAGAACGTTTGATAGTGTGGCTGGTAGATTAGAACGTTTGCTAGTGTGGCTGGTAGAGGACAAAAACGCAAGACAACCAGTGCAATTGATTGAAGTATCATTATTATTGTGAAGAAAAATAGATTTGTTTCGGTAGCTAAATTAGTTTTAAAAATTCAAGGAGATCATAATATTATAGTGACTCCTAAAACAATCAGAAAGTGTATTAGAGAACAAGGATATAGAGGTAGAGTAGTTTGAAAAAACCTTTTTTAACTTTTAACAAATGAAATGCCAATTAAAAATTGCAAAGAAGTATGAAAAAATGCTGATATCATATTTGGGGTTGTCCATAAATTACGCCATGCTATAAGGGGGAAGGAGGGTTGGTGGTTTTGTGATGACTCATTTGAAACTCGCTTCTTAAGTGTTACAATTTTGAGATGAGGGAGGGGGAGGGGGAATTCGAAAACAGTCAAAAATTGCGTGACGTAATTTATGGACAACCCCTTTGAAAAAAAATTTGTAGTCAGATGAGTCAAAATATAACCTTGTCTCATTGGATGGAGTCCAGAAAGTCTGGTAAAAAAAAGGAGAAGCTTATAAATTGAATTATTTGCGAGGAAGTGTAAAGCATAGAGGAGGAAATGTGATGGTTTGGGATAGTATGAGTTGGAAAAGAGTGGAGAAATTTACATTTATGGATGAAAAAATAAATGCTTTAATGCATTGTGAAGTTCACAAAGCCAACACCTACTTAAAAATTGTGAATGAAAACGATTTCATTAAAATAAAAGAATAACAATCTAAAACATACAGATAAAAAAACAAAGGTATACTTTGACACAACTAACCTTTTGCATACTGTAAATACTAAATTGTGAATAAAAATGTAAGAATGTTGTATGCCAATATAAATATCCTATAAAGCAAACATAGTTGTCTATATTCATATATACACATATTATTATGGACAAATGCACCTCTCACCTAGCCTCCTAGATACAAGCAGGTATGAAAGCTAATATTCTTTCTCCTTTTAATTCAAGCCTCATTCTTCTCCATGTTTCTCACCTTCTTTTGCAGTTACTATATTAAACCATAATCACTTTTTTAAAATTTTTTACAAAAGCATCTCTTTTAAGAACAAATGTCTTTTTACTACTGAAAAAAACTAAAAAGGTCCTGTCTGATGCTAAGCTCTGTTATTCTCAATTTACTAATACTAGTATTTTATTTCAGATGTTAGGTTCTAGAGATGTTTTGAAAAACTTTGACAGTGTCATTAACTAAAATAGGTTTAACTTTTCACGGACAGTATTTAATAAATGCATAATTTTATAATGTATAAAGTATTATAACATTTTTTCTAACCCGGGCTATCAAACCCTGCTAAATCTTATATTTTTGTCAGGGATAATGCTGGATTTGTAAAAAGACCCAATTTTAGTCAGGACTAGCACCCGGGCCTGGACCCTGATCACTTAGGTGACCAGGGTGCTCATGCTTTATCACTTAGGTGACATCAATTGATGCATGCTTTTCTTTGAAGGATAACTTCAAAAATAAGACATTTTAGTAGAAAAATATAAAATATACCACAGTAATCTTCTCCATATTATAAAATATATAATATAGAGAAGATTAAGGTGGTTTAGGTTGAGTAATGCTGATGATTTGGGCATCAGCATTGCTCAACCTCAACCACCCTAATCTTCATATGTTATTCTTCTTCAATACATGCTGATGATTTCAGCATGTAGAGAGGTAGCAGCTATAGGATAAAAAGGTAGAAGTAGAAGTAAGAAAACTTAAAAAGAATGCATTATATATGGTATGAACAAGCTTCACATATTTATATATATATTGCTGACCAAGGAAAGTCTCACAAAAGCGTTTTAAACAAGAAAACTCAACTAATAGTAGATTGGTGAAATATAAACACACTGGAAAAACTGAATGGTCATTTTGGACCTAAAAAAAAGAAGATTGCAACACTCTTAATGCTGCCAAATAACATCCTAAATCCACTTACTATGATATAAAACTAGATTTGCACCTCACTAATATTTCAAAGTAGACAATAATTGAATAAAAGCATCAGATGAATTTTTTGTTGGAACGCATACAAAAAAACACTTTGTTGGTGAAATTAATTGCAAAAAAAGAATTTAGGTGGTGAATTGAGCACAAAAATTAGACATGTACAACAGGCTAAAGTTATTTGGAGCAAGAAGACTTCTTTTGTTTTGTTTTATGATTTTCAAACATGCAACAATTAGTTCAAATGAAGATGGATTGGTTCAAATTCTTCTTGTTGGATGAAATGCTTTGCCAAATGACTTTTAAAAAGACTTGTAATAGTGTGCTTTCTTGATGTAAAGAAGTCATAAGAAACAAAAGGATTGGCACTAAATACTAAAAAGTACTAATAAATAATACTTTACAAATCCTAATTTCTTTTTATTAAACGTAATATACAACAACATAATATATATTTCTATAAAAATTGTGCTGAATTTTTTTATTGTATGAGTTTATGATATTTTTTGTCAGGTTTTAAACAAAATATTGAGTGTGGTTTTTTTTTTTTTTTTTTTTTTTTTTTTTTTTTTTTTTTTTTTTTTTTTTTTTGCACTCCTGGGCAAAAGTCAATAATATCTGCAAAAGTATTATAAATCTATATGATCATCTTCATGCTTTTAGGTTTCTATATATTTTCATTTTTTTATATTTAGATCATCACCATGTTTTATTCTCCACTTGCTGGCTAAAAACTTTTGTCTTTCTCAATCTCTTGCTCAATTAACTTTTGACTTGTTTACCATTTAAATCTAACTACTTATGATATTTGCAAAAATTTTATGTTGAATTATAGATATTTATTTTTCCATTAAAAAAAAATATATTAGCTAGAAATCCGTTCCATTTTTGTTTGCAAAATAATTCATAGAAACATTTATTTTTGACTTTATTTATTTATTATAAAAACATTTATTTTTGACTTCAAGCATTTTCGTGTAATATGAGCATGCTCAAATAACCCAGTGTTTTTCCTAGTTTAAAGTCCTAAAATTGCAGTGGTTTTTTGAAATTGCTTTTTGAAAGCACAACATAGTAGAATCTTATTATTTTAACATTACTAAATATCTTTTTTGTAATTTAAATTCAAAAATTTTTATTGTTTAAAGGTTTGAGTTTATAAAATTGAAAAAATAATAAATATTTTTGCATAAAACAAAGTAGTGTTGTTTTAACAAAAAGTGACAAAAAAAAATTCATTTAATGATAAGTTTTGTTAGTAACAAATTATTATATTCCACAAATTAGTTCTAATTGGCAGGTTGGTATTTTTGTACTTAATGTTAACTTTTTGAGCTAATTTAAAGTGCTCATATTATCCAGTGGTCTGGTTAATATTGCTATTTTTTAAAATACTCTGTGATTTTAAAAAAAATTTTTGGATGTCCAAATATATAAGTGGATCATGAGTAGTGATCTCTAAAATTTTTTATTCGCAAAAATTTTGGATGCAGATTAATTATTTTTGGAAATTTTCACTCAAGGTGCTCACAATACCATAAACTACCCTATATTTTTTTTATTATCCACAATATAACTATTTTTTACACAAATAAAACATCATAGTTATAGAAAAAGTATTTATTAAAAATATGTATTTTATTTATTGAAAAAAAGTTAAAAATAATGCAATCAAATTTTTTAGATTATGCTGTGTGGTGACATTTTACAGACCATGCTGTGTGTCAACCTTTTATCATTCATAAAAATAAATGGCTCCCTATTTGGAAACCTTTCTTTGAGTTGTGGAATTAACAAATTTTCTAAGACTTCTTTGTATTGATGCTGCCTTATTCTACTTTTTACCACATATAGACATCCAGTGCTGCTAATGACTGACCAAATAATCACTTTGTCGGTCTGAGTAATGCAGTCAGGATGAAACTTTTCTCCATGATGACAACCCACAAACAAAGCCCAAAAAAATTTCATCATGTGCTTTTCATGAAGCAAACCTTTAAAAAACAGAAATAGTGCTCCATTGTTTGGCCTACTTCAGACAATTTTCTTTTATTGCAGCTGTAAATTTAGGTTTACTGTCATCAGGTCTAAAAACCTAAATTCTTTAACTTTTTTTTGAACAGTGTGCATGGAAGCAAACCCTCAGTGTGCATTCACATTAGCATTTTGAAGTTGCAATTTTATCAGCTTTTTGGTAGCAAACCTGTTTTAAAACATAAATTTTTTTAAACATCAGGTAAATTTTCTTAACATCTTTCTAACTTTAGGGTAAAAAAGGGGTTTCTGTCGCATCATTTCTTCTGCTTTGGGTTCAATTTGTTTTCCAACTCAATTTTCTTTTTTATTCGTTGTATGCTCATTCTTTATTTGCCGTATGGAATTATTTGTCTTTAACATTAGAAACTTTAAATCTGTGATATTTTGCGGATTGAAAAACAGTATTGAGGAACTTCTAATTCAGACGTTTTTTTTGTTGAAAAATTCTTTTACCTTTTTTACCCATAACAAAATTAACAAATAATTGCATAGTACAAAGCTGCAAACCTAAACACAGAGCACATAACTACAGAAACACACAAGATCTACACAGAAGAAAAATACAAAACTGGTTTGTACTTCTTTTTGTTTATGAATTATTTAACATTGTTGAAAAAAAAAACTGAAAAAAACTAAACCTAAACACAGTGCACAAAAGCACAAAAACACATCTGAGAAAATGTGACTCAAGTTGTTCTTTTTATACATGTATTATTTGGTTAAAATTGTGAACACATTAACATTATACATTTAAAATTCGAAATGTTTAAAAAACCTGCTAAATAAAAATCCATTACATCTATATTTAAATATAAACTCAGTCTAAGTAATTATTAATTAATTTAAGTGTCTAATAACTTGGACAAAAACTGTATTTATACAAAATTTAAATTAAATTTTTCAAACTTACCGCCATGCTATACATTCTTCTAAGCCTTCTATTTTTTCACTTGTAGATTGAAGGATTCCCTCTCGATTGTAAATGCGAACACATCTGCAACCTTCAAATTTTAATTGAAAATAAATGAGAAACAATTAATTTTTTAAAAATTTCTGTTAAAAACAAATATATATATATATATATATATATATATATATATATATATATATATATATATATATATATATATATATATATATATATATATATATATATATATATATATATATATACACACAAAGAATATTGCACACTTAGTTGAGCAATCACACATCATACTGAAATAGGGATATTTTACTGAAATATATAATATATGTTGTTATATAAATTAAAATAGATAAATTATTACTTCTCACTTGGTCAACAGAAGAAATTGCAAAAAACTGTCCATCGCCTCTCCACGATACTTCTGTTCTATAATCATCCCATAAATTTATTTTGCCTTCCTGTGTGATAAATAATATTCAGTACATGATTTAAAAAATGATTTAAAACTGAAAAAATAATGTAGAAAGCATTAATAAGAAAGCATCATTTTTTCAAACTAAAATAATAGCAATTTTAATAACACAATATAAAATTAAACTAAAGATAAATAATTTACGAACAATAATATGTATTTATTTTGTAAAATATTTATTAAAATATTGTTTTAGTTAAACTTTTGAAATTTTGTTGAACACTTAAAAGTGTAACAAATTCAGGGGAAAAAAATTATATTACCTCAATTTATTTTATAAAACTTTTACCTGATATACTTTTTGGTGTGCAGCTTCTTTACCTTCTGAACCATGGAACTGTGTTTCTTTTTTACCCCATCCAACAGTTATTTGCTGAGCTATGACAAAGTTAAACATACGAAAAATTAAAATTTTATTGAGATTTTTATTATGACACAGTTATGTTCATGTAATACTACAAAATGTAACTATCACAATGTTTAATGATATTATGATATTTTTACAAAACATATAAACAAGCAAAACAACAAATGTATAAATTTTAAATAAATAAACACTAAACAAATTGTCATTATTATAATTAATTTGTTGTTACTGTGAATTTAATTAAGGAAGATATTATAAGGGTTCGCATTTGCAGATAGAGGCCATATTTTACAAATTTAAGAAAGTTCAATATACCATGATAGGAGCCTATTTAAGAGGAGGACTCCTGACAAACTATAAAAGTATATTTCCTCAGTAGAATATAAAATTTGAAAAAATAAAAACATACCTTCTCCAAAAGCAGCTGAATGAATAGCCTGTTCACAAATAACATCAAAATCACAGCTCATTAGAAGAAATGATCCAGATCCTCACAATTAAAAAGGAACATAAGGTATCAATAAAATCTTTTTAAAAATATATATTTTTAACAGTAATTCCATAAATTATTAAAAAATTATATTTTATTAATTCAAATACTAAAATGGGTTTGTCAAATAAAAAAATGCTTTTCTTTTTACTGTATTCGTTTTTTTCCCAAGGCCATACTACAGTCAAAAAGGAAAATATATGCTTAAAATATCTATATTTTGGAACTCAATTTATGAAAATATCATGCACTAACAAAAAAAAAAATTATCAACTATCAATAAATTTAAAAAACTATCAATGTGGACCCCTAACTATCTAAAAATAGCTATCATTACCTGTTATGATTACTAATAATTCATTATCTGGACTCCAAGCACTTGAAGAAATTCCTGATTCAATACTTCCCATTAACTCTATTTCTCCTGTTGCAGCTTTCCATATTAGACAATCGCCTTTAGTAGTAATTATACATAGCTCAGCTTTGTCACACATATAGTAAATGCTTACAATTTTTTGATAATCTTCTTCAATATAACCACCTTCTTTAAGTGAGATGCAGTATAAAGTCTGAAATAAAAAACAACATGCTTTATTACTATATATAAAAAAATGTACTTCTTATAGAAAAAAGATAAACAAAATAAGTCTCAGTTAACTAGTTTAGTTAGCAGTGCTCATTTAACCAGTGAAAAGCTCAAAAGGCTGTCCCATAAAAATATACTTTTTTAAAAATCCCTCTTACCCATTAAACGTGTTCTATATAATAAAAATAAAATATTGGGTTTATAAAATTTTTACATAAAAAACATTTTTAGGGGTGCAAAAAGACCTTTGAACAGGTATGCGGAAATTCGTGTGTTGCAGAATCAAATTTTGTGGTAAAATTCTGTGCCATATTTTTTAAACATTTTATTAGGTAGCATCAAACTTAGAAACTTAACTTACAATATTTTTGAAAAAAATATATATAACAGTTAAACTTGATTTTCATGTAACATTTATGTGTGGTTGGTAAATTTTGTATTAAAATCTTAGTTGTTGTTATCACATTAGATTATTGTTAAAGGAATGCTCAGATTTTTTTCTTGTGACAACCAAAACTATGTGGCGCGTCAAGAATAATGTGCATAATTCAACATTTGCTGATGTGTAACATTGATATGTTAATGTGAATTAATATATAAAATATATGTAATATTAAAACTTTAAACAGTGCATTATTATGCATTATTAATGTACTGTTACATATTACAATATATTAATGCACTAATATATATATATATATATATATATATATATATATATATATATATATATATATATATATATATATATATATATATATATATATATATATATATATATATATATATATATATATATATATATATATTAATGCACTAATATATATACTAATGATATGTAACAGTGCATTAATATTGCATTATTATACCAATGTAACATTGATATATATGAATGTAACATTAATGCACTGTTTTAAATTTTAGGATTATTGCATTAATAATAGTTATAACATTTAGAAGACAAAAAAATGCCTAAAAGCAAAAATGCATGAAAAGTTCAGGCTTCTATTTTATTTTTTGTTTTGTTATTTTATGTATACTAAACCTAATATAATCTAATATATAATATATATAATTACTTATAAGTAATATCTTTATAATATCTTAAACTTTATCCAACAGGCAACAGAGAAAAGGCTTTTAAATATTCTACAAATAACCTGTTTTTTGTTTTTATGTTTTACTACATTATTTTTAACTTATTTAATGTAATCTTTCATTGGATCTGCGTACAAACTATTTCAGGTAAGCTTATAAATTATCACTTCTCAAAGCAACAAAATATTAGTTAATTTTTTTTCTTTTATTACAGGTTTTTCATAATAATGATAAAATAGATTTAATATTAATTAAGATAAGAGTCAAACTTTAAATTATCTTGGTAGTTTATATCAATTCTTTAGAAAAAATTTAGTTACATGGTCTATTCATTTAAAGCGACAGTTGCGTGTACAACAAAAAAAAGAGTAAAGATATATTCTCTACCAAATTACTTGATGATTTAAATGATGTAATCTCAAATAGAATTGTATGATACTGAGTATTTAGAATCTGTTTTGCATGATCAAGACATAGTATCAAGATATGTTTATATACATTTATATTCTGGAATAAAGATGATACTGATACTTAAGCTGTTGACTATAATATATATTTTGCAAAGTAGATATCACAAGTTATGAATCTTGCAAAATAGATACCGCAATTGATGAAACTTGCAAATAAAGTCATACCAATTTAGGTATAATAGGTATTTATGTTTATTGTTTATTTGTTTTTATTTTTACTATTTTTCTTATACATTAAAGAGCTTAAAAATATTTTGAATTTCAAATCTGGTTCAGTATTTACTGTTCTCAAACGTTTCATTTTTTGGGAACTGTAAAGATTCATAAACTTTTATAATTCTTTCAAATGCATTATTTGTATGTTTTTAAAGAAGATTCAAAGTATTTGCTTTAGAATGAACTTTGTCCAAGTTTTGGGACTGGCAAAATTTTTTGGAAGGCAGCTCTGGCTTACCTTGACGTGGTGTCTTTTGTTACAAATGATTATTATAGAGTTCAATTTAAGGTTGATTATTTTAGTTCTTTACTAAAAGCCAAGAAAACTATTCAACTAAGAGTTATCTAAAATGTCTTAATACAGAGCAAAATAAAATTGATTGTTAGCTCTAAATTTTTTTTCAGTTTTCAAACAGCAAAGTTTTTTTTAAACAGCAAAGTCATTAAACAACCATCTTACTTGTCACAAGTCTTTGGAAAACAGATCTTTCTTGTAGATTATCTACTAGCAACTGCTTGTTAACACTAAATCCTCATTCTATTGCCTATAGGCCATGACATAAAACAAAAATGATAGCACAGACTTTCCACAATGCTTAATACTTTTGTGTTTTGTGCAAATAGACATATACTACATAGTTCTTAAAAAAGATTTCATTCTGAAAATTTCTATTAGGTTTTGATTTATATATATAACTACCTGTTTTAAAGTCACCATAATCATTTCGTATAATTCTAAATCTTATCATATATAAGACTTAAAATTATACAATAACCATTTTGCTATCAAAATCACTATTTTTTTTTTTAATTTTTGCATTTTGTATTTAAAACATTTTTTTTTTCTAATATGATTCAACACTGATATTTTTGGTAATGAGATGAAATATATTTTATACTATTTTGATTGATACTAATTTGATTTTTAAGAATTAAATATCTTTTCATTTTAGGATGGGTGCAACCATCTTACAATATATTAATGCCATAATTCATGATATTCATCTGAGCGCTAAACCTCCGCAAAATTTTCTATCCGCCATGATGGGTGGCAAAAAGAAGTAAACAAATAAAAAAACGTCGAAGATCTTAGACATTTTTTCGACTTTACAGCTCGAGTTGTTGCGTACCAAACTGCAAACACAGAAAATTGAAATGCAGTAAATAATATTTTAATAAGTTTTCAAAAAAAAGAAGAGCAATGGACGTTATGACGAGTGGTTTTAAAGACTTTAGTTTAGTCGAACTGTGAACTTTACACATAAACACTCAAGCTTCAAAGAAAAAGTGTTGATAAAAACCATGCTGACTTTTTTTTCTCGATTAAACACCTTTATATAAAAAGTAAAAGAAAATTATTTTATATAATACATCAAATCATTTGAACAAGAGATCTACCAAAAGTGCTCATTGAAGAAAATAATATTAACAGCTGATTAAAAGAATTTTTTTTAATTGTCAAAGAATCTGAGAAAACTGCCAAAATTATGAGAACTAAACAATGAAATCAAGAAATTAAAAAATTTAGTTTAAAACTTAATGAATACAGCAAAGTTAAATTTAAATTTAAATGAAGACAGCTTAATTCAGTTTATAACTTTATAAAAACATCAAAGTTCAGTTTAAAACTTCATGAAGACAGCAAACACTGCACTTCAACACGTAACGAAGACAGCAAAGTTCAGTTTAAAATGAAATCATGAAAACGACGTTCAGTTTAAAACTTAATGAAGATATCAAAGTTCAGTTTACAACTTAGTTGTAACATGTAAATTTACACCTGTTCAAAACTTAATGAAGACAGCAAAGCAGCAATTGATGAAAGGGGAAAAATCACACTTTTTAATTACAAAAATTAACTATCAATAAAAACAAAGGTTTGATAATCAGTTAGAAGAAGGAACATATAAAATTTTAAAAGACACATTTTTATATGCCCTTCTTTCACTATTGACAATATTTGAATTATTTTATTATGCATATAAGAGCTATGACTGGCTCTTAAAAAACACAACTTTAGAGTAATGTTTAAATCAAAGGATTAGGAATAATATTTATTTACTTAATCATTCAAAGTTACCTAGCAAATGGGGTTGCTTTGAATATTTTTTGCAGTAAAAGCAAAATATTTTAATTGGTTTTAATATTTGATTAAAACAACACTCTAGGTTTACATAAACTTAGTATTTCTAAAAAAATAAAATATAATTTCATACCAAGCCCTGAAAAGTTTTTTTAGTATTCGAAGTGTTCTATACAAAGTATTCTGGCTAACCTAAGATTTTATTTTTATAAGTGCTGAAATTATTTAAATTCATCTTTAGTGGTGTCTTTATTTAAAAATATTTATATAATATTTTTATATTTGAAAATATTTTATTCAAAAGCTGTATAAGTTCATGACTTTAACTGTTCTCATTCTTTTTTGTAAAAGTTTCTCACTTTATTTGAATTAGAACAGATAAGACTCTATATTGTGAACATTGTTCAGGGGTGCACATAGGGTGGAAGATCCAGGATCATCAGACAACGAAAATTACTAGAAGTACTTTATTAGTCTTATTATTCTTATTTTTAAGATGGTAGAGTTAAGGCCATCTAGTAAATTTTCAATTATCTACCCTGTGCATCATAAAGACTCTGTGTGCCTCTGACCTTGTTATTATAATTTTTATTGTTATTTTTATAATCTTAATAACATCAGTTTTTTTTTAATAAATATTGTGTTTATTATTTTAAACTTCTTAAAGTATATCCTTAAATGTAAGAATTATAATCTAAAATATATTATTGATTGATTTTCAGATATTCAAAATTACTGTAATATAGTTTTGCATGTAATAAGATGCCGCTCTTGCATGAGAAAAGGCTGAATTGCATTTATAATTTCTCAAGTTTCTTGAAAGCTAATCATTAGGGTTTTAGAAAAAGTACTCTGACCTATACGACCAGTTACTGTATATATAGACCATAGACCTTGTTTTAACTTGTTTATTATCTTGATTAAAAATAAGTTTAAAAGGAATGTTATGAACCAGAAAACAGGTTACAAAGTTGTAAGATTTAAGACGTTTGTAGAATTTAAAACTAGAGTTTGTGAACTGATTTAAAAAGATTACTTTTTTTTCTAGTTAAGCATTTTTTTTGGCAATTCTTAAAAGTATTGTTTTTGTTATAAAGTACGTCATGCTGAATTTAT